TTTCACTGCCCCCTAGTGTGTGTGTGTGTGTTCACTAGTGTGTATGTGGTGTTTTACTGCATGGATGGGTCAAAATGTGGAGGTGAAATTTCCCTGTTGTGGGACTAGTAAGGGTAACTTAACTAAGTGTTTTGTAGATTTATTCTATTATTTTTTAATATATAAAATAAATAAAATCACAACCGACAAAAAGAAGTCTTGCATTAACTTACATTTAATTATGTGTCAGTGGCTACAGACTGTTGAAATGTTGACACAGCACATTTCTTCACAACCCAGCTGGCACATGACCGACCTTCAACGTTGAAATGTGGTTGAAATAATGTCAGTTGTTGTTAATGTTAAATGGTTGTGAAATGGTTAACAAAATACTCATAAATCAACATTGAAATTTCAACTTTAAATCAACATAATGTCTTAATCATCTTGCTTTACAAATATGATCATTATTATTATTATTTTATTGCCTTTTTTTATATTTTGATCATAAGAGCACTTCAAAAAGCTAAATTTATATGTTAAAAATAGCAAACAACAGCTACAATTATAGTAACAGGCAAATTAAGTTTGCGAAAAAAACCTTGTTTGCCGCCCATTGAAACAGCATGAAGAACTATGTACACTGACAATCAGCACCTCTTCTGAGGCGGGCTGAGTACACCCGTTTTGAGGCTGCCCGAGTGCGCGATTCACCAACGTTCAACTGAGCGGGAACAGCGTTTAGAGCGGCTTCTGGAAGAAAGAACTTCGGAAGACTTCAAAACGTGTTTGGTGCGTAATACTTGGTTTATTTGACGTACCAACAGTTTTAACCGAACATTTACTTAGATTTAATCTTAAAATCTGGTAATGTTGAACTCTATACAATAAATCAAACATTAGCATCACTTGCTAAGTTAGCCGGTGGTCTGCTAGGGTGAGCTAGCTGGGCTAGTCACCTCTGATTGTTTTCTCTCACAGTGTGAGACTTTATGAAGGCAGTTAAAAGGTAATTGTTCCAATTACTATTTTAAATGGGAACCACGTTTCGAATTCATGTTCTAAGTCTACTAATAAACTGAGTTGCTATCTAAGTTAGCTCAAGTTTAGCTATCGTTAGCAGGCTGTCTAACAGCTCTGCTGGATGACAGGTTCGATTCCGGCTAACTTGTGCTAAACTGTGACGAATTTCAAGAAAAATAACTCTGATTTGAGCGAGTGAAGTGGAGTGAACGGTGCTGGAGTGTCCAATAAGCAGAAACTAATCAGGGTTTGTGGTGTGTGGGGCTGTTAGTTTGCTAGCTAGCAGGTAACGACTTCACAGCACGGACCAAGTCTGATGCTTCACTCAGAGGAGATGAAGCAGAAATCTATAGAGGGAGAGACGCGTCAAGTGACTGGAGCCGGAGTTAAAACTTAAAGGGGAACCCCACAGATTTTCAAAAATTCTGCATAATTAAATGGTTGCGGTGTTGACAGTCATTCACAGGGGTTTGGCGTGAAATGCCCTGCTGTAGTGAAACCTACGATTGAGGAAATGTCCAAAGTGGAACCAGACGTCCGAAGAATTCAGTGCCTCTGAAAACTCCCTCTTAGAAAGTTATTATATGAAGTGGTTAGATATATACTGTGTGATGCCTGAAACTTTGTTTTATGGTAGTTTTGTGATTAAAACTTTAACCTCCTGGGTTTTTTTTTTTTTTCAATTCATTAATGCCGGAGGGTGCATGCAATCTCCAAAGAAAGCTCTTTTGTTCCAGACTATTTTTCCCACCATTACACAAAAACACATGTAGGTTCACTGGTGGTTTCAGATAGTAAATAATATGTCTATATTTGCGTTGTAGTCATGGTGATCCCTGGTTCCTATCACCACTGTAAAGAAACGGTACACTTATTTACAATAAACCATTTTATATCAAACCACTCTGAATGACTCTGCAGCCACATGTTTACATCGTTTACATGTTTACATTAGACTGAACTATTCAGGAATTTTGAACTGGTAAAACTTTATCCTAACTGGATAAGAGTTATCCTAACTGAACTGAGCTATAACTCGGTTACTTTCTGTCCGATAGTTTTACTTGCTTGAATTCGAATATCTAAAACAATCAACATTAGGTCAGTGTTCAGCTTTTGGAAATTCAGTATCTGTTGTATAAACTGAAGTTTGAGCATCCACTTTATGAGAATATTAATTTGTGTGTGGTAAGTGGAATAAAACCATTTAATGCTAGTACAAGAAATCACTGCGTCACTGACCGGAGGTTATTCAGAGTGATGTTTCTGAAATCTCTTTGTTTTCTTGTTGCAGTCACCTGCACATCCTTCGTACACCAGCAGCATCTTTCAGGTATGGAAGCAATGTTAATTTACCTTTCTTTTTCTGCTGGGTTACTGGTTTGATTTCACTCATTTTTCTGTCTGTGTAATCACCCAAAACATGTATGTCTGTCTGTGTTTGACTATTTTATATCTTAACCATACGTCAACACAAGCACGTCTTTCCCTTTCTCATGATTGACTGTAATAACGATTGGGAAATAACAGTTTTGTGACTTTTTTTTTTTTTTAAGTCCTGTTTTAGTGTCTCTAGTGTCCTCTTTTACTTCTATGCTCCCTATTAACCCACCATATTTTAAGCTACGGAAGCCTTCTCACCAGGAGTGAGCTAAGTACAAAACTTCTGAACCTGAGTAAAAGTAGAAATTCTTAAATTAATAAAGTACAAATATTTTGTTTTTTTGCTTGAGTTAAAGTACAAAAGTACTTGTTTTTAAGTTGTGAATTGGAAATCATAGTGCAATATATATTAATTTAAATGCAATAGGACTTGCAATAGGAATGTTAAGTGTCATTGCGAAAACCAGCACATTGTTATTTACAGAAACACTCTCCTTCTTCTATGCTGTTGCACCCACAACTGTTTTTTTCATGTTTCTTTGTAGATTTTTTTTTCTCATAATGCCTGCTGTCTGCTATCTGGTGAGGGTTTTACTGATCTTGCTGACTTTTTTTTCTTTATTTTAGATGCAGCCATGAAGAATCCACAGTAACAGTCACGCTGCAGGTGACAAAGAAATCGACCAGAGATCTCCACATCTGTTAAGAGCCGAGTATATTTAACATTATTGGGTAGGGGTCAGATTCTGTCTGCCTCTCTCTCTCTCTTCCACACATGCTCTATATATACATTCACTGACCGCTTTATGTACACCTTACTTAAGCCTGTTTGCAAATTACATTACATCACTGCGTTGCTGTGGCACATACTGGAGGGCAGGAAGTGATTTTCATAGAAGGCACTGTCACAGGTTCTCGAAATGCCTATGGTTTACATTGTTTATGGTTGCTAAATTAGTTCTAACTGAGAAACTACAAGGTTCTTTTATCAGGTACCAAAGCTTGTTCATTGGGGGAAAATGCAAGAAATTGTCCAAAAACACCAGCAAAAAATATGTTTTGCACAGTTCATCTGTGCACAGGTGATAGATTTGAAAGGTACAAGCAACACCACTTACAGTTAAATCAGGGTTAACAGTTAAACAAAAGATGGGTGAACAAACAAGTTGCTGATATCTGCCGCCTCAATAGCAGGGAAGTCTTTCAGTTCAGTAGGGGAAAAAAAAACACTCATTTTGAAAACGTAAGGAACATCTGTCCAACATTTCTCTCGTAATATAGTCTAAACTAGCATAGTATGAGCTTGCCTCCATCTTGTTTTCCACTTTACACTTCCTGCCCTCCCTCTGGAATTTGCATGTCATTCAAACCATGTGACTTTAGAGATTGTAGTCCATCTGTTTCTCTGCATTTGTTTACCCTTTTACCCTGTTCTTCAATGGTCAAGTCCCCATAGGACCCCCCCAGGACATGTATTATTTGGGTGGTTGGATCATTTTCAGCACTGCAGTAACACTGACATGATGGTGGTGTGTTAGTGTGTGTTGTTCTGGTGAGTAAATCAGACACAGCAGTGCTGCTGGAGTTAAACACTGTCCACTCACTGTCCACTCTATTAGACAACTGTTTACCTTTATGTACTGACTATTCTATTTTGTTAGTGTTGTATGCATGTACTGTATATTTATGTAAGACAATTAAAGCAGTTGTTTCAAAATGATTTATAGTGTTGTCATTGAAATTCATGCATGCATACAGGTGAAAACAGGTGAGCTTTAAGAATGTTACTTTACAAGGCATGATACAGTGCATACTAGCTTAATAGATGATGATGCATATTAAAACTGTGGCAAACTATTGATTATTCAGCTGTGTTCACCTGTGCTTTATTGTGTTCATTGGGTATTGGTTTTCTTTTTATTGTCTGGATTCTGTTATGCTATTTCAGAATAAAAGTGAATGTTAGTCTACATCTGAGCAAATGCTATGCTTTTGGTTGAGGTACATGTAGTTATAGAGATTCATATTTATGCAGGAACTGTATAGAAGTAAATTGAGTATGTTTTGCTAGCTGGGAGTGTTAATAGCACAACGTATCTGGATGTGAGCCGAGCATTTAGGCCAGAATTGGGCCAAGATACAAACCAAAGTCTCGGCCAACGAGGTTTAAGCTCGGTATGCAGTATTCGGCCGGGATGTGGCCCAACTGATTTTTGCTATCTGGGAGACTCAACGTTGAAAGGTAAGATGTTGAAACAACATTGCGATATCAACGTTGATTCATCTTTCAAAATCGAAACATAATCCAACGTTGTTTGAACCATGATCTGTGACGTTGATTCAACCGTGAAAAAAAGGTGCCACATGCCAAGCCAGGGATAAAAGTTTAGTCCAAATCTTTTTGATGCACTCTTCTCCATGATTCGATCATTTTCATCGCCTTCGATTGCTTTCCTCTGTCATATTCAGCTGGACAACATGGCTTCTGAACAATGACGAGTCTTACCCCTGGGTTCCGAAACTTGGATATTTAATTATAGATTACAAAGTAACCAAGCTCGGTAAGTCGATTGGAAAAAACAACCCCAGAACATTGAAGAAACAAGTCGATAGCAATGGGTTTAACGCAGAGTGGTGCCGTCCCAGAAGGAGGAATTCGTGGCTATCATGTTCATGGGGTAAGTATTTTGTTATTAATAATGAAATGAATTATTCTTACTGTTTTTATGGTGATGGTAACTACATTGATATTGTTAGTTTGCTAAACATGATTGAAGGAAGTTATCTGTCTAGGAGATTCGACTCCACAACTGACTGCAGTTATTCAGAGCTGCTGCTACCCAGGTAGCATACAGACGTCTAGATTGCGTCCAGAAACTTTTGCTACTGCTCCTCTCGTAACCCGGAAGAACTTGGCGGTGTCGAGGGGAGAACCGAAACAGATGAGAATGATCAGTAATTGGCGAAACTTGACAGCTGATCAGTTTCGACAGTTTCACCAAACTTCGTGGCGACCTAAACCTGGGCTGTCCAGTCCTGGTGCTGGAGCCCAGCAAGCACAGTTACGTTGAGACCACCTATTGTTTTGGTGCCCACAACGCTGCTGCAACGTTGAAATAATTCCACAGAAAGTTGTGACAGCGTTATCTGATAACGTTGTCAGTAAGTTGTCACAATCTATCCTCATGAGTTCCATTATGTTGTGCATGGAGCCCCATGGAATTTTGCCAAGCTGTCAATAGGTATTATAGTAACATAAGGCAATGTTACTGTTTAATGAGATTGTGACAACCTAGTGGCAGCCTTATATAGAAAACTTAAAACAGCACTGCCTTTAGACGGCATTGTAGTAGCGTTGTAAAAAGTACACAGCGATGTGACAGTGTTTTATGTTTGCTGGGAGATCCACCACACCTCTGATCCCAGCAAACAGTTACGTTGTGACAAAGTTGTGACAACCTATTATTTTGGTGCCCACAGCAATGTTGAAATGTAATCAGAAAGTTCTGACAACCTCCTAGAATCCTCACAAGTTCCATTATGTTGTGAAAGGAACTCTATGGGATTTTGATACGTTGCTCTTTCGCGATAACACACTCCCTCTCGTGTTCTATTGCTTAATTATACAACAGTTAGTTCCGGCCACGCAAGCTGGTTGGTTGAGAGGCGTTTTAACCGTGCTGATATTTCGCCATAACATCACGGGTTTTTCACAAACATTGTATCACTCCGCTAAGAGTTTGACAGCTGTAGGAGACGCTCAAGCCATTTGAAAGTTTTTACTTCTTACTTTGTGCGCAAACAGAAAATGGATACTTTTAAGATTACATTTGACCTACAGCCGATTTGGTCAGACTCTGAAGATGAGACTATACTGAATTTCCAAACTGTCATCACCACTGAGCAAGCTTTTCAGTCGGCAGCTGTGACAAAAGAAAACCTAAACAACCTGGAATTAGCCAGACATGAACCGAATACCATTCGCCAAACGTGTAGTCTCCTCTTCAGAGTCTGACCAAATCGGACTGAACCATCAAACTGCCACAATAAAAAACAAAAACGCTTGCTCAGTGGTGATGACGGTTTCGGAATTTAGTGTAAGGAGCTGGGGAATGTACTGCCAGCTGTGCAGCGAGTGAGCAGAGCTCGTTACTGTGACGTAGCAACAAGCTGCTTGTTAAGGAACTATATTTTGGCGGAAGGAATTGCTAACGTTAAAACATATTAAATGACATGTTCACGGCCCAATTTCTTACTTTATTTATTTAACTGTTGTGTAAAAGTAATAGAGCACTCAAGGTTGCATGTTATCGCGAATAACATCACGGCAACACACTCCCTCTCATGTTCTATGGCTTAAATAACATCACGGCTGTGATTTGGTCGTAGGTGTTCTATTGCTTTTATACAACATTTAAATAAATAAAATAAGAAATAAATAAATTGGGCCGTGAATGTGGCATTTAATGTGTTTTAATGTTAGCAGTTCCTTCCGCCAAATGATAGTTCCTTAACAAGCAGCTTGTTGCTTCGTCAGAGTAACAAACTCCGCTCACTCGCTGCACAGCATGCTGTAAGCCTCACCTTCTGAAGTACGGACTGAGCCATAAAACTGCCACAATATAAAGTTTAGCTCAGTTTTGTCGATTTTTGCTATGTCAATATTAATTTTGTTTTGTTCCAGCCAGTCTGTAAAACATCTTACAGCCCATTTTGTTTGGCGAATGGTATTTGTTTCATTTCTGGCTAATTCCAGGTTGTTTAGGTGTTCTTCTGTCAGAGCTGCCAACTGAAAAGCTTGCTCAGTGGTAATGACAATTTCGGAATTTAGTGTAGTCTCATCATCAGAGTCTGAATAAATCGGCTGTAGGTCAAATGTAATCTTAAAAGTATCCATGTTCTGTTTGTGCACAAAGTAAGAAGTAAAAACGTTTAAATGGCGTCAAATTTGTTGCTTAGCAGCGGCGTCTCAGCGGAGTGATATTGTGTTTGTGAAAAATTGGAAATAACAGCAGGTTAGAATGCTTCTCCACCAATCAGCTTGCATGGCCGGAACTAACTGTTGTATAATTATTAGTTATGTTATTAATTATTAATTATTAGTTGTATTATTATGTCAATAGACACAGACAAAGACCCATGCATGCATCTGGTTAAGCAGTTTTTTGGTATAATCAACTCCAAACAACTATTGTAAAAGCAAAATCATTGGCAGGTATCTGCCAAATAATAGACCTTAAATCTGGACATACAAGCAAATTCATAACTAGAAAGGGAAAGTTCGTGAATGAACTTTAAGTTGGCTTGAAAAAGTCAGTTAATTACGTTAAAACAAGAAGAAGTGTGTGAGTATGTGTGTTGTGGGGTGTGTTGAGTGTGTGCTGTGTGGTAATTGTGTGTAGTTTGGGGTGTGTTAAGTGTGTGCTGTGTGTTAATTGTGTGTGTTGTGTTGAGTGTGTGCTGTTTGTTTATTATGTGGATTGTGTGTGTTGGGGGGTGTGTTGAGTGTGTGCTGTGTGTTTATAGTGTGTGGTGTGTTGAGTTTATGAGGTGAGTTAATTGTGTGTGGTGTTAGGTGTGTTGAGTGTGCTGTTAATTGTGTGGTGTGGGGTGTGTTGAGTGTGTGTTGTCTGTTGGGTGTGTTAAGTGTGTGTGGTGTGCGGTATGTTGAGTATGTGCTGTGTGTTAATTGTGTGGAGCGTGTGGTGTGTTAATTGTGTGTGTGTGTGTGGATGTGTTGAGTCTGTGTGGTTTGTTAATTGTGTGTAGTGGAGCGTGTGGTGTGTGTGTTGTCTGTTGGGTGTGTTAAGTGTGTGTGGTGTGGGGTATGTTGATCATGTGCTGTTTGTTAGTTGTGTGGACCGTGTGGTGTGTTAATTGTGTTTGGTGTGGGGTGTGTTAAGTGTGTGTGGTGTGTTTATTGTGTGTGGTGTGGGATGTGTATTGTGTGTGTTGTGTGTTTATTGTGTGTGGTGTGTTGAGTGTGTGTGGTGTTGTCTGTGTTGAATGTGTGTGGTGTGATTATTCTGTGTGGTGTGGAGTGTATTGAGGGTGTATTGTGTGTGGTGTGGGGTGTGTTGAGTGTGTGTGGTGTGCTTATTGTGTGAGGCGTGAGGTGTGTTTATTATGTGTGGTGTGTTGAGTGTGTGTGGTGTGCTTATTGTGTGTGGTGTGCTTATTGTGTTTGGGTTGAGGGGTGTTTATTGTGTGTGGTGTGCTTATTGTGTGTGGGGTGAGGTGTGTTTATTGTGTGTGGTGTGGGGTGTGTTGAGTGTGTGTTGTGTGCTGTATGTTTATTTGTTAATTGAAGTTCCACCTTAAATTCTGTGCCATCTTAATTTTAGTGCTACCTTAAAGAGAGTTCCACCTTAAATTCTGTGCCTCCTTAAATTTAGTACTATGTTAATTGAAGTTCCATCTTAAATTCAGTGCTAACATAAATGCAGTTCCACCTTAATTTCAGTGTCAGTGTAAACTCAGTGCTACCTTAAACACAGTTACACCTTAAAAAAATCATTACGTGTGCTGATACTGCTGAGCATTAGGCTGTGAGCATGTGAGACTTTGTGCTCCGTGCGTGAGTTAGTATTTGTGTGTGAGAGAGGTGCCCATTGTGATATCACGTGTGGCATGTCGCCAACATTCCACCCATTCATTCCCTATGGGAAAAAATCTTGTCTTTGAACGATGATATTCCGAAATCTGTACATCGGATCCCTTAGAAAAGCATAAGCACACTCTGCGGGTATAGGTCCTACGATCCTGCAAAGTTTCATGGTTCTAGCAGGAAAACTGTAGGAGGAGTAGCATTTACGTTTTTGAGTATAGAATAATAATAAGAAGAAGAGGATTACGAAGAACGGTAAATTCTGTGCCACCTTAATTTTAGTGCTGTTAATTGAAGTTCCATCTTAAATTCAGTGCTAACTTAATGCAGTTCCACCTTAATTTCAGTGTCAGTGTGAACTCAGTGCACCTTAAAAGAAGTTAAAATGGTCAAAATGGTTAAAGTTAAAATGGTTGAAGGCTGTTGGTAGCTGTTAAAATACTGCCAAAATGTTCTTAAGCAGAAGCTGCAGTATCCGTGGAGGATAGCAATTCTCTGCCAGTTGCTACTGTGAATGAATTTCCACTTTAAATTTTGCACCACCTTAAGTGTAGTGCTATGTTATTTGAAGTTCCACCATAAATTCTGTTCCACCTTAATTTTAGTGCTAGGTTAATGTAAGTTCCACCTTAAATTCTGTTCCACCTTAAGTTCTGTGGCACCTCAAATTTAGTGCTATGTTAATTGCAGTGCCACCTTGAAAGAAGTTCCACCTTAAATTCTGTGCCATCTTAATTTTTGTGCTACTTTAAAGAGTTCCACCTTAAATTTCCACCTTAAATTCTGTGCCTCCGTGAAGTTAGTCCAATGTTAATTGAAGTTCAACCTTTAATTCATTGCTAACTTAAATGCAGTTCCACCTTAATTTCAGTGTCAGTGTAAACTCAGTGCTACCTTAAAAGAAGTTCCACCTTAAAATTCAGTGCTACCTTAGAAGAAGTTCCACCTTAAAATTCAGTGCTACCTAAGTGCAATTCCACCTTAAAAGCAGTTCCACCTTAACAAATCATTATGTGTGGTGACACTGCTGAGCATTAGGCTGGGAGTGGGTGAGACATTGGGCTCCGTGCG